GTGCTCGAGTCTGGAGTCAGACACCACCTACAGGTGAGGAGGACCAATTGCAGCTCACTGTTGGCATCATGCTTGGCATAAATAACACTGTGTAGTACTAGAGAAAAATGTTGATTAAAATATTTCTAAATGAATCAATATTGAATGAAATCAGAATTGAAATGCAAGCTTCTGATTCTAATTTAAACGAATCAGAAATTCAGTGCTTTGTAGTGAAAGTTTCTGTATATACTGTATTAAGTTTTGGAATTTCAAGAGCTGAATGTTCAGGGATCCTACTTTATTTAACCAATGATTTAATGTGATGTTTGTGATTTACTGGTTAAGGGTTTTAAAAGTTTTTCACTCTCAATTTCTACTCTTAACACAATTTACAGCTTGTCATTACTAGAAAAATGTATATTCTTTATAAAATACCTATGGCATTTTAAAATTCTGTTAATTTTCGTGACATTTCCAAGACTACAAATCAAATTTATTCATAATTAGGCTACCTCAAATATCAAGGTTTTTGTAGACCATTTGTAGAGTTTTTAGTTTTTGTGACTTATTTTAATGCTTTTAGCTTGTTTTAAATAATTTAAAGTCATCTTGAGGCTCCCATTGAGGTTTCTTGAGCTCCCCCATACAGGCCCCAACCCCATGTTTGAGAACCACTGCACTTGTGTAAGGTTTGTTATGAGTTTTTGTGTCTGTTTGTGTAGTTTAATCCTTTATTAAGGGATATTTTTGGACTCGGACCTCCTCTCATCCTGGATGCGTCTGTCAAAGCCAGCAGGATCTCCCGCACAGAGAGGGTAATCTTGAACCTTTTCGTTTATAATAAATAACGAAAGGTGACACTGACATAACAAGAAGTCTTAGTTTGCAGAGTGAAGTCCGATTCAATTGATTTTGGGAGCTGTCTGCCAAAAAATGCAAATGAAATCAGCACTATTTTTTCGTTAAGGTTTTGTGTGTATATTTATGCAACTTTGGTTTGTCTCTTCACAGCATCTGTTTAACTCTGCTGCATTCAAAGCTCGGACTAAATTAAGGAACAAAGTAAGGGACAAACGTGCCGACGTGATGTGAGGATGAAGGCAACAAAGAGAGAAACACTACATCCTTAAAATCCCCTCGGCTCACATGAAATTATAGTTTGACATACTGCCAAGCCAGAGACTTAACAATGGACATGCGTGACTGTCTGAGTGTGAAAGGCTGGGTGTGTGCACGTGTGTATGTGGTGTTGTGTTTTTATTTAACATCACGGTGTGAAAGCTAGGAATCCTACAATTAAACAAACATGAAATATTGTATCTTTATAACAACCTCTTGTAAGGCTGTATTCAGCTTTTCTGTTGAAACCTGTTTTACCTCCTCAAGTGTTTTTGGGACAAAAGAGAATTTTTATCATTGAAACATTAACTTTTTACAGCTCTGCTACAAACAAAGAGGCCAAGAAAACGTACTGTTTTGTAGTTTTTCTATATGCATTTATATAAATGGATTATGCATTCTGATGATGCAAACAAATGAAAATTCATCTTTGACTGCAGGTTGCCAGAGTTAGTGTAGACCGTTTTGTTAAACCTCTCTCACTGCCACTAAATAAACCATATTTCACATCTTAATTCTACTCATCTTCTGAAAAGGGTTTTCAGAAGATGAGTAGAATTAAGATGTGAAACGTTGTTTTTTTTATTTTGGCTCAGTGTGATGCAGTCCAATAAGGTTCTTGCATCATTGTACCCTCACCACAAGCTCATGTCTGCCCATTTAGATCCCATTTTTCCCAACATTTCTTTTGAATTTCTTTCTAAATATCAAAAACCAGCATGTCAAGTTTTCTTTGAAGCAAAAGTACTGTATGCAGCAGCAGGATTTTGGAAGAGAAAACAAAATAAATTATGTAATTATCCTTAACAGCGTTGGAAGTCTTTTTGACCGGCGCAGATGTATTTTTAGTAAGAGAAAAAAAATTGTGAAGAAAGTGTGATGACTCGAACTGCTCTACAAATCTTATCAGCCTGGGTATTTAATTACATATCATTAAAATGTGTTGTTTGATACAGTCAGTTTAAACATATATACATTTATTGTTCGGTTGCTGTTATATTTCATTTTAAGTAACTATCATTAGGGTAATGGACATGTTTTGTAACTCTAATTTTGAAAAGCTTTTTACGCGTCTCCTTTCATGGGTACTCTCGCGAGATTTTAGACCTAACAGACTCGACACAAGTTTGGCTTAAATGTTCAGCCATACAAGTCAACATACAAAGGTGAATTATAACATTTCTGCATACTTAGCAATAAAGGTAGATCTATCAACTCCTATTGTGTCACGAATGAACAAGCAAGGTTACCAAAATACAGAGTTTATAACTCTACAGGTGAGTGCCCTTTTGATGCAGCGGCAAGACGCGACCAGCTGCGGACCTGCAAATCGGCCCGTGGCTGGAGGAGTCCGTCAGTGAATCAGCTGTTATTTCAGAGCGTTTCTTTTGTAATGGATTCATTGTCCCTCCCCCGTATTATATTTTGGGCCTGGCCATATAATGACATAAATTTGACTTTAAATTACACTAATTACTTTTTTTTAAGGTACAAGGCACTTTTT